TTATTTTATTCATTTGCAAGTTCAGTTACAAACAGAATGGTGAAATAGGTGTGAATAACATTAAGGATCTTAAACTGAACAGCAGCATCTCGTGATAATATTGAGAAACATGTCACTACTTCCCAACAAAGTTGTTCCTGCACTAATCACAAAGGGGCACTACAGAGCAGCGTAAGCATTCTAGGGCAGCCTTATTTGTGCCCAGCTCCATTCTGCCTATCCCAAGACATGGAGAAAGACCTGACTACAACTATCAAGAGCCCTGCGTTTGCTCAGGCTATGCTTTCACAATCAGTCTCAGAGGATTTCCTGCCTGCCTGGTGGTTTGCAAGTGTTGACAGTATCCAACGACCTGCAGAATGCACACTGGAAGAGCTCACCACATGCATCTCAGGGCTGTCTGTTTTGAAACTGGACACAGGATAGATGTCTCCTGTGGTTTTATCTTGGGATTATCTTGGGAAACATGCCCTATAATATAATGCTGTAATACTGTCTTGGAAGATAACTGCATTTTGAAATGTATCAAGAGCCCAGGGAAAAGGAGATGCAAAGAACTCTTCATTGTATGTAGCATACCATATCACCAACAGGATGCCTAGTAACCTTCAACACCATGCCCATGGTAGATGCATCAAGGAAAAATATTATGTTCGTACCCCATCTTTTTGCTATGACTCAAAGCAAATCACAATATATTTGAACAGTGTAAGGCTGGGTGCCCAATGTGGCACACCCAACAAGGTGGTAACTTTGCCCAGCACAGCTTCTGATTGGCTGTGTAGATTTTTTTAAAAAACAAACACTGCTTGGCAGCAGCTGCCACCACACCACAAGAACCTTCACTGCATGACTGAAGGTAAGCTGCGTATATGGAAGAAAAGATTTTTAAACAATATGTTCATCTTTAAAGGTATCCTGTTAAGAAGAGGTTCTGTCTGAAATGCTGAAGAGTTTCTATTAAAGCTTATGCATAACCTTCCTTCCTGATGTTTTTAGGTTGGCTCTGCCTCCTGTGGCAGCCATTCTGCGGCTGGCTCCACCACACTGGGGCAGAATTCCAAATTCCCACTCAAAATGTTTGGGGACCTCTAGCTTCAGACATCCAAAGAACAATGCAACAGTACTAGAATGACAATATCAGAAGACAATGCAAACAAACCAATACACATTAAGACATGACAATACCATAAAAAATACAGGACATGAATTACAAAAGTAGAAGACAAGGCAGCAAAAGAAAGAAATGCACACAATAAATAGTGCAAGAGATGGCAATCCTATTTTGCCTTCATAAAAATGCTATCCTGTGCATGTCTGTTTTGCATGTTTTTGCAGAATGATGTTAAGTGTGGGAGCCTTCCTGACTTGCTCAGGCAGGCTTCACAAGGTAAGGGCTGCAAAAGCTCAGGTACCGTCAGCTGTTGTTTTACCCATTTAAAGTGGGTATAACTTTTGCAGAGGAGCATAGCAAGAGAGGCAGTCCTACGGATATGTGGGTCCAAGGCCAAGAAGGCCTTTGTACATGATAACAAGTACCCTGAACAGAACCAGGCAACTGATTGATAACCAATGGAGTGACTGCGGAATAGGCATAACAGACATACTCCACCTAGAAGTATAGTGTCCAGATCATGCAAAGTGATGGTACCACTTTACTCTGCTCTGGTTAAACCTCACCTGGAGTACTGTGTTCAGTTCTGGGCACCACAATTTAATTTCAGTTTTGGGTACCACAATTTAAGAAGGACAGAGACAAGATAGAACATGTCCAGAGGAGGGCAATGAAGATGGTGAGGGGGTCTGGAGACCAAGTCCTAAGAGGGAAGGTTGAAGGAGCTGGGTATGTTCAGCCTGTAGAGGAGATGACTGAGAGGTGATATGATCACCATCTTCAAGTACTTGAAGGGCTGTCATATAGAGGATGGCACAGAGTTGTTTTCTGTTGCCCCAGAAGGTTGGACCAGAACCAATGGGTTGAAATTAAATCAGAAGAGTTTTCGGCTAACATTAGGAAGAACTTATTGACAGTTAGAGCAGTTCTGCAGTGGAACAGGCTTCCTTGGGAGGTGGTGGGCTCTCCTTCTTTGGAGGTTTTCAAACAGAGGCTAGATGGCCATCTGACAGCAATGCTGATTCTGTGAACTTAGGCAGATCATGAGAGGGAGGGCAGGAAAGATTGCCTCAGTGCTTAGTTCTTGTGGCCCTTTCTTACACACCCAGGGAAATGCTGATCGCCACTTTGGGGTCAGGAAGCAATTCTTCTCTAGGCCTGTTTGGACAGGGATCCTGGAGGTTTTCTGTCATCTTCTGGGCATGGGACAGTGGTCACTGTGGGTGCGGAGGGGGAGGTATTTGTGAATTTCCTGCATTGTGCAGGGGGTTGGACTAAATGACCCTGGAGGTTCCTTTCAACGCCATGATTCTATGATTCTATGATTCATAGATAATAATAACTGAGCAGCAGTATTCTGTAACACCTGGAGTTTCCAAGTTGACTTTGAGGGCCCATATAGAATGTATTACACTAGTCTAGACGAGGTTACTGTATGAAGGGAAAAAAATCATAACAAGGAAAAGGTCCAATGGTTCCAACACCTATAGTCAAACACCAAAGGCAAATAGCATTCCATGTTCTTCTAGTGTGTAGCTAAACATTTAACATTTTTATGTTCCTTAAAATGGTGCATACTTTGTATAAAACTTCCCCATGATGTGACTGAGCCCTATGGTGCAGCTATGCTCTGACCTTATCATGAAGTATTAAAACATTTACCTTCTATGTACTTTTAGATTAATATTTCTATTGGTGACAGAGGCAATGCATTCGGAAATGATGGTTGTCTATTGCTCAAGGCTATTTATGTTGAGTATGAGCCCCAAGTCTGTCACGTTTATTCAAGGCAAAAGAACATTTCATTGTTGGCACACCAAAAAAGCTAAATACTCTGAGTTAAAGTATAACAAAAGAGGGTAGAACTGTAGCATGCACAAAATGTATTAAATCTTTGACTACAATGCTGCTATTTGTAGGCATTCTGGCATTCTAGGTATGTTCACAAATGAAACACAGATCCGTAGAATTCTATACATGTGGTATTATCTAATATAAATGTTCCATGAATGAAAGGCACTGGTGGTAAAGGGCACCTCCATGCCTAGCACCAAGCAGGATCTTCTAAGTCTTTTAGGGTTCATCAAATTGATAACACTGCCACATTGAAGTCAGTGCCTTAAGGACTATCAAATCTCTCTCAGTAGCAACCTAGCTAACAATCTATAATATTAATAAAACAAGACATTAGAGTTCATACTTCATACTCCTCAGTTCAGCAATAACCTTATCTTGTGCAAGAATTTATGGAAATGACACACAGTAGGATCAAGCACCTGATCTCTCTGAAAAGCAAGGTAAAGGAATGTTCAGAGATATAACTGAACATTCCCCATGAGGGACAAGAAAGACATGGATAAAAGAAATGCAGGCATTCTCGTTAGAAAGCCAGGACCACTTTGTAGCAGAAACATCAACACTGCCTTGATTCTGAACTTCCTATATCATGGATTAGGACCATCCCAGTTTCCAGTGCTGAAACTCAGTCCTCCATGACTCCCATGGAAACAAAGGAAACGGACTTCAGTATGAGATACAATTCTGGGGATAGGAACTAACTGAGTTTCATCTCATTTACCAGGATCAGCAGGGGCAGACTGAGCATCCATACAAACAGCATCCCAGGGTCCCTTTACTTTTGTTCACAGAAGTGAATCATTCTCAATCACAGCTACCAGAGGGCTGCAGGGGGAAACAATGGTGTGATGGGAGGGGGCTAAACCAGTGCTGAAAACTGCCACCCTGACCTTTACTGACAAGGACTCCATGGAAATGCAGTGTATGTCTATATGCAGATTGCACGCTCATCCCCTGCACCTCAGCAGTCCACCCAATACACGGGGGGGGGGCGCTTATACACCAACACACATCTAAGGATGGACTGTTAGTAAATGATACACACGGTTCAGAATAGAGCATCCTGTAATTGAGTATGTGCTCAGAAGAATCAACACACTTTGGACTGAAACCTAGGCTCCTCAGCCCATGTGTAAGTGACCATGCAAGAGACTGCTCAGAAAAGGAAACCGTAACTAGGATACAGCCTTTGTGAAGGCTTCGGGGGAAATGGAGACAATGCCAAAATGATTCACATGTGCTTATGCTATAGTGGCTGATGCAGGTGACACATTTAGGCCTACTTCTATCATAACTGTTCATTTCTATGAAAATCGGTTTTCAGCAGGAGACTGACAGTGCAATGCTAAACAGAGCTGTGCCCTTCTAAGCACAGAGACTCTCATGGGCAGAGGAGGGTGTAACTGCTTAGGGTTGCCCTGTGAGAGTGCAAGCCAGAAACTGTTTAAATAGATAGAGTATGAAAGGTTTGCGTAGCCCTGCGTATATTCATTTCATCACCCACGTTACCTATCAACAGCTACAGGACTTGTCGCCATTCAACGAAACCCACCATCTACAGGTTTTTGCTTTGATGCAGTTCCACAACATTAGAAATTGAAGGCTGCTTTGTGGAGTGGACACTTTGCCAGTCAAGGATTCACAAAGCATGTGTGTATTTATACTCCAGGCTCAAGAATGACAAGGAGAGTGGCTCAAGGCAGGAAGTCTGCTAGAAAAGAGATTACCCCACACACGGTATTTCAAACATGGCAACATCCTCCCTTAAGACTTCATAGTGTCAAGAAACAAAGCTATTTCTTACTTTGGGCAGCAGCTAACTTCCACAAGGCAGATGCTAATGTGCTGGTTCTAGAAACTACGAGTAACTTTATTTGCACAGGGCTCCCACATTCTACATACAAGTCTTAGAAGTAGAATGGATTTTACAAGGACAGACATTTTGAAACAGATACAAAGATACCTTTCCCTCTGAATAAAGGTACGGTGTATTCAGATAGGAAGGAAAATTTAAATAAGTTATACTTACGAGGCATGATCCCTTGGCTAACCAGCTCTTCCCGTGTCCGTCGCTGCTGGAGCTTCAACTGTAGCACTGCGAGGAGGCAGACAAAAAAATAAGTTGAGAACAGGTTAGCATAATGCGCCGCACTACAGAGCACATTTTCCTGTTCATTTTATTTTCTTCTAGCTGCAGAACATTAGAGAGGAGGACCGAAGCCCTGTCATCCCCACCCAATTCTAACTCTTGCAATTGCAGAAGTAGCCTCAAGCACCAAGGTTTCCGTAGTCTGCTGCAGACAGCAGAGAGAGAGGAAGTTGCAAAGAGTTTTAATAGGTTGATAAAAATCCACAAAGTATGAAAACAGGGCCTGTTGCTCAAGATGTTCTATAGTGCCAAACCCCTTCCTAAGTCATGCAAGTTTTAAAAAGAAAGGGCACAATAACTGACACCATTTTGAGGGGTATAATCAGAACTCCACGTTGCTATCATTTAATGCTAAAAGTTACTCTTAAGCATGACACATGATTTACCCTCTCCCTTAAAAGGTTGCCCTAAGACTACTGTCAAAAATGAGGTTCTTCAAGGAACATTAGCCGATGTTCCATTTCAGGAGTCTTTGGAACAAATCTGGTATTCATAGTCAGGACTCAGGACATTCTGACTATACAATTCCTGAACACCCTGAGGCATCCCTCTCACAGACCCCGTCCCTTATGACTGCATTTCATCTTGCATTAAATCTGATGAACATTAGATTCTGCTGTAGCTGGTTGGAAGTGTCTCATGCCTACTCTAACTGAACCAACTTCTTTTTAGACTGGATCTTGTTTTACAACACTCTCTCTTTGTAAAATCCACCCCCTTCTACTGGGTATACATAGAAGCCTAATGGATGTACACTTCTATGCATCTGAAGAAGTGAGCTCTGACTCACAAAAGCTAATGCTGAAATAAATGTTGTTAGGCTTTAAGGAGCTATATGTAATTCTGGAGGCAGTCTGAACTTTGGAGATTCTTTATATCTTCTTGAGGGATCTTAGGCTTATTCAGTATTTTCTGATTGGAATATATTGGGCTAAGAAATCAAACACATCCTATTCTGTTTTCCTGGGGTTGCCATTCTAACTTTCACTGCTCATTCCAGCTATCTAAATAACCTTGATGGTTGAACACAAGGGACCCCAGTACTTCCCAGCATTTCTCACAAAAGTTGCTTGTTTTTTTGTTTTGTTTTTATTTATATGCATAGTTTCCATCAGCTTCTCAAGGATATGGTGGGATTTTGTGTAAGAAAGGGAAAAGCACTATTACTACTCCCAATCCACATTTATTCTCGCGGGGGCGGGGGGCGACAATAGATATAGAACCGGTTTGATTTTTAAGTATCTTCGTGCAGCATTCAATTTCATGAAGTACATTGTAAAGAAGGTTTTTTTGAGACAACAAGGTTGTCAAAATTACAAATGCTATTATGAATTTTGCAAGTCCTATAGGAGCCAACCCAGCTCCTTTGGCTATAAAGATTATCTGCAAACAAAATACTTGCACAAATGATTCACAGTGAGGAAAAATGGGAACTGGCAAATATTTCCAAGTTATAGCTCAACATTCTACAGATCTAGGTTAAACTTCTCATTGTACCCATATTTTATTTTATTTTTAATCTTGAATGTTTGTCTTTTTACATTGTTCCCTGGCTACGGTCAATGCATTATCAAATACTGGAGTAAATATTCAATACTGTTGGTACATACTGGACAAGTGCCCTATATAAATCCCCTAGACCAGGATTTTTGGCAGAGTTTCTATGTAGAGTAAGGGAATATGTAACATAAGGAAGCCTATGAAAATGTATCTTCTTTCTGATAGGGAGAGAGTGTGCAACTCACAATATAACTATACACTTGCAGCACAAAAGATTCACTGAGTATAGGTCAGCTGATCATCCTATAGCTTAGTACTATTAGTAAGTTGTTTACATTACACACTTTATACATGTTTTAATTTGCACAATATAGCATGTTTTTAATTGTTGTACTTAAAGGCTAAAATTTGTTTCCCTGTTTTGCAAGAGCGAGGGGTCATAAGCAAAGTTAGGAGACTAGCTGAATTCAAGGTCACATAACACAGATTAGTGTCCTCCAAACATACTTTAATTATTGTTCCATTATCACAGCCCAGATGGAAGAAGGTATATTTACATTGCTCTCTCAATGCATATTTACAAATAAAACGTGATTCTAAAATACATTATTAAATATGAAAATACAACAAAGAAACATCAGAATGATAATAATTCTGGGTTAGAAATTTAAGTAAAAGATATCCCATGTATGTCCTTGAAGCTTCACATTTTTTTCTATTCAGAAAAAAGCACAAAATATGCCATAGAACTCCAGTATGCCAATAGTCATTAATATAGCATTCATCCTAGTATTATGAAGTTTATGTAAATTATGCCACGAATATATGCATATAAAAAGCACTGGTAAAAGTCAACCACATCCTTCAGCTCCAATTATACTGGAATAAGATGAACCACTTTGTTCAACCATTCCATCTAAAGTGGTTTGGCCTGTTGTGGCCATAGCAGGTTAGGTGGCATTTACTGAACACATTTACTTAGATTCTTAACCACCCCTAAAGAGCTCAGGTTGGCTCCTTTTCCTCCTTTTCTCCACACAATAATGCCAAAACTGTTCCCAAGTCAAATAAATCAAATCGACAGTACGTTACTCTCTGCAGAAGATGCATGCATGGTAAAGGTCTCCATTACAATATACGGATGTGTGATGTACAGAAGTTCTGAGATCTGGGCAAAGTAAGACAAAGAATGTAGATTGTGGCTGGTCTGCCAGAGATGCATTTCTGTCCCAGTGGCAAAAAAGGCACCTGCTTGGTACCTCAACCCTCAACATGGAAACTGCATCTATTAAAAAAAGCACTCCTTAGAATAATGATAAACCACCCAGGTGGTCAGTCAACAATACAAAAGTATTGGACATGCTTTTGGGACACTGGAGCACAAAGGGACTGCATGCCATGTACACAAAAGTCATAACATACTATGCCCCTTTCAGCGTTATGCCATAATCCAGCAGAAAAGAAATCATGTTCTTTTTTAGCAATTGCTAAAACGTACTTGTCATGAGTTCCATCCTGATCCCCACAACTTCCGGTTTCTAATTAAGCCCCAAGACTATGCTAGATCTGCAGGTTGTGCCTCTAGTTAGAAAGTGAACAGGACTGCGAATCATATAGCCCCGGAGAGATGGCTTAGGGCTTCTGCTCCAAAAGAGTGCACCTACCCATGCAAGGTGGTGTGATTATAAAACCCTGAGGGAAGAGTTACTACTGTCTTTTCTAGGAACAAGCAAGGGAAGATGAGTCCCATGTCAGTCCTACATGGCTCAAGATCCATGAAGAACTGTAAGCCATTAAGCTAGGGATCCAATTTAGTCAGTTTTGTTAGCTACTGTATTATTTTATTCTGTTTTGCATTCTCCTGTGTGTCTGAAACCATTCCCCAGCCCTCTGCGCCCATGCAAGTAGCCATATGCAGCTTCCCTCCCTTTTTTATTTAGACAAGCGCCAGTGTTGTTCATTGTTCAGAGGCAAAAGGACTGAGTTCTGTGTACAGGAGATCTCAGCTAAGACAGGCTATCTGTTTAGCTGGGTTAAATGCATGTGTGCATTGACAGAGAGAGGCAGAAGTGGCATGTTAGATTCTGCCTATCTCTGACTTTTAGGTTAATATGACTGGCAACACAATATTGCCTGTATAGTTCAAACTGGAGGCAAACTTTTTCAGATTCTTTTTCTTAAGGATTGCAAAATCCTTTCTACACACAACTGCCAAAATCTGTCTCACTGCAGAAAATCATCTCTCCCAATTGCTCACAAGTGAAGAAGAGCCCAATCCTTATCCACTTCCAAGAGCAAAATCGCTGTACAGACCCATTTCTCTCCCCTTCTTTGGAACAGTAACATCTGAGAACTCTTTAAAAAGGAACACTGTTTTCTGTAAAATCTGAAGAAATACAACCTTATGCCTGTATCTATACATACACGATTCACTCCTTCTTAAGAAGGAGCTATTCCAATACTAAGAATATTTTTTTTTAGGGATAGTAGCACTTAGCAATGAATAAACCCCAGAGAGGAGGTGGTCGCCCCTGCCTTGAAGTGGGCAGTGGTGCATTCACTCCAAAGTGATGCATTCACCTATTCTGGCCCCAGGAGAACTGAATAACTACCACCCAGTCTCAAATATACCATTCTTGAGCAACGTGATTGAGCAAGTAGTGGCTGGACAATTTAAACGCTTGTCAATGTTTGAAATATTTTAATGTTCACCACCTTGGGAACCCTGAATTGGGTAGGAAGGTGGTATAGAAATGTTTTAAAATAAATAAATAAATAACTCACCTGGCTTTTAAGAATGAGAACGTATGTGGGGAGAGGGGGCTGATGGTTCCATGATTGTAAGCATAAATCTACAATTTTATCTATTTAAAAGATACATATCCCACACTTCCCAGAAACTGCCACATCACAAACACAAAAATATCAATTTGTAAACCTTGCTATTCAAGTATATGACAAACAATATCTGGAGTCATTCTGCAGGATGACATACAGGCATATGCTTGTGTAGCTCAGAGGTGCTGCCTTACTCGTGGGGTAACCCCAGCAATGGGGTAACCCACTTCTGACCTGAACCAGAGACCCACAGAACCAGGCCAAAGAGAACTCTCTGGACCTGTGCTAAAGAGCTGGACAAAGCTCTGCAAAGGATTTCAATCTAAGGTTGCACAAGGCACCCTCAAGGGCAATCTCCAAACCCCCCTCCACCCAGCAAAGGTATGCATATGGAATGACAGCGAGTTCCTTCAGGTGAAGTATCTGCATTTCCAAAGCTATTCAGTAGACATCTGGTGAACCTTCTCTGTCTCCATATCTCCACGTAATCCCCTATGCCAGGCATGTCCAACTTCGAACAGGTAGTGATCTATTTTTTTTAGGGATAGTAGCACTTAGCAATGAATAAACCCCAGAGAGGAGGTGGTCGCCCCTGCCTTGAAG